CCACCGAGGGCGCCCGCCTCGTGCGCGACAACGACTGCCTGCGGTGCGCGCCCCGGCCGCCCACTGGGGGAGGGGGGCGGTGTCCCCGGGCAGCTAGGGGGGCACCTACTGCTTCGTGGGATGGATTGGGGGGGTGGTATTTTGTGATATTGGGGGGCGGGAGTATTTTGTGGTGGCATTAGGGGAAGGTGGGTACCGTTTCATGGTGAACTTAAGCCCCCCCCATCTTTCGGCACAGGGTGTTAGAGAGCAGATGCCGAAAAGGAGGGTAAACTAGGCGTGATCAGGGTTATAACGCCTGCCCCCGGTCTTGCAGCCTCCAGCATTTAAGGTCAAGGAAGTTCGGGTTCGGAGGCTGTGCCCCTCGATAGCGACTGCACCTGTTCTCCAGAAATATTTCGTGGGTTTCATAGATATTAAGGCTGGAAGGGACCTTGGGAGACCATCGGGCCCAGCCGCCTGCCCCAGGGGCAGGAGGTCAGTTGGGGTCAAAGGATCCTAGCAGGATAAACGTCCAAATGTCTCTTGAAGGCGTTCAAGGCAGGTGCTTGCAGCACCTCCGGCGGCAGGCTGCTCCAGGCCTCAGGGCTCGGACAGTAAAGAACTTCTTCCTTATGTCCAGCCTGAAACGGTCGTGGAGGGGTTTGTGACCATTCGACCTCGTCATCCCTTGGGGCGCTCTGGTGAGCAGGCGTGCCCCCACATCCTGATGCACACCCCTTATATACTTATAGGTGGCCACCAGGTCCCCCCTGAGCCTGCGCTTGTCCAGGCTGAAGAGCCCTATACCTCTCAGCCTCTCATCATGAGGCCTGTTCTCCTGACCTCTGATCATGCGCGTGGCTCTCCTCTGCGCTCTCTCAAGCTTCTCCACGTCCTTCCTGAATTGTGGAGCCCAGAATTGGATGCAGTACTCCAGCTGCGGCCTCACCAAGGCCACGTACAGCAGGAGGATGACATCCTGAGATTTACTTGAGAAGCATCTATGGATGCAAGCCAGCGTTTGGTTTGCTTTACCAGCTGCGACATCACATTGGTGGCTCATGTTCATCTTGGGGTGAATCATGACCCACAAGATTCTTTTGGCTGTGGTGCTAGTGAGCATAGCACTGCCGAGCCTATAAGCCTGCTGAGGGTTTTTTCCACCAAGGTGGAGTACCTTGCATTTGTCAGTAATGAATATGTCCCTCCCTTCTTAAATCTGGCTGTCAGCGTTCACCGGATCTGGTGGCAGTAAGGTCCCCCCTTCGATGACAGGCTGCATGAAAAAGAACCTCCTTTTGTTAGTTTTCAACATACTGCCTACTACTATCATTCATTATTTTTGTCTGGGGAGGCTGGTTTTGAAAGGTGTCTCTTAGGATCCTGGCTCAGGTCTAGAGCAGGAGCGGTCAGCTTGCAGCATGGGTGCCACAAGTAGCACAGGGGTGTAGGTTGTAGCCGTGTTGGTCTAAGGGCATAAGCAGACAAGGTTTTTTGGGTGAATTTGGTATCTTTTATTAGACCAATTCAAATAGTTGGAAAAATTCTTCTTTACAAGCTTCCAGGTATAAACTCCCTTCACCTGCAAATACTTCCTCAGCCTGATGGTGTGTACTCTGTAGGCCTTGTTACACATTCAAATTAATTGATATCGGCAATCCTTCAGTTCAGGAATGATCTGCACTATGGTTCATTGATGGGTCTTGAAGTGGCTTGAGTCCAGTCCTTGAGCCACAGATCTGTCTGCAAAATTGCAGGTCTTTTTACAGGGGAGAGCCTTTCTATAGACTGCAGGCTGGGATTCCTCTCCTTTTCCTTTTTCCATGCCCTCTTCTTTGCTTGGAGGGCAAGATGCTTTAAATTAAGACATTCAAATTAAAGCTGGATAGAAACCAGCTATAGGGTTGTTGCACACTCTCAAACACTAATTTTATAACTGGTTGGCTCTTTTTATAGCGGGATAGTCATTTTTATTGTGTGACAAGTACATGTGGTTGGTCTAAATTTATTGCACAATTAACCACTTAATTGTGTGATAAGTACTTTGCACTTATGGCCAGTCTTACTTTGTACGTGTGGCTGGTCTAAATGTGTTGCGTGATTCACTAGATAATTGCAGAATATATGTAACGTGTAGCAGGGGCCAGTTTGTGGTACATGGCAGATCAGGAAGGGGACAGGCAACACAGCAGCAGCTGGATAGCGTAGGGAATAGAAAGCAGAGCATGCAGGGGAGGAGAATTAGGGTGGCACACCTGCCAAAAGGGTTGAACCCTGCTGGCCTCAAGTTTTGGAGAAAGGCCTGGAAAAAAAAAAACCCAACCAGGAAAGCCTCAAGCATCTCATCTAGGCAGGAATGATTACAGGAAGTCTGGGAGTACAGGACAAGGAGCTCAGCTGACCCAGGCAGAGGGTGCAGCCTGTAGCCCCTGCCAGCTTCCGCTTGAGCTCCCTTCTTCTTGATATCTATGCTGTGGTACACAGATCTCTTTTGACAGGGAGATGCTGCAGCATCAGCTGTATCGTCCCACCAGAGAGGCTGTTTCACTGCAGGTTTTGATTCCTGGTACCATGTGGTGGTTTTTTAGGTGCAACTCTCAACTGAGGTGAAAGACTTCCTTTAGTTAATGCATGAGTATCATTGCAATGAGGGGGTCATTACACATATGGTCAGTCTGAAAAAGGTATAGAAGTTTGTATGTGGTCATTATACTGAATCCTGGATTCTCTTTGGTATAGAAGTTTGTATGTGGTCATTATACTGAATCCTGGGTTCTCTTTGTCCTCTTGACAGAGTTAAATTGGAAGAGGTAACTGCAGAGGGTTATAATGAGGTCAGTAATGGCTTCGTTTATTCATCAAGGAAAGTCAGAAAGAGGCACAGGCAAAAGCTGGAGGAGGAGGGAGAGGAGGAATCAACAAGTGAAGATGACAGGCCCACAAGGAAAAAGACGACTAAACGGAGCTCTGAACATGCTGCTTGTAAGGATGAGAATACGGAAGATGTTGGGAATTATCCAAAGAAGTCCAAGAACCGAAAGAAAAAGAAAGAGTTGAACAGAAGAGATGGAAGAGCAGAATGCAAGGACAGCACTACCGATCAATCTAAAACTCATAAAAAGTCAGAAAGGAAGAAGGAGCTGGAGACTAAGAAGAATGCAAAGCAGAAGACAACAAAGGCCGCTGCAACAAAGTCTGATTTAGGACGGCTGAACCACAGCATCCCTCTGTGTCAGAGTAAAAACAGCACAGTAAAAAATGCCATGCAGTCCAGCAAAGAGAGGGAGGGGACTTCTGATTCTGACTCCTCTAGCTTGTCGTCTGACACGGACAGTGAAACTGATGCAAAGCAGGATAAATTCTCACCCAAGTCCACAGTGGCAACGCAATACAAAGACAGATCCCAAGTTGCTGCAAGTTCTGCTGCAAAAACTGTTGCTACTAGCAAAGTTACTGCCAAGTCTAAAGAGGAAAACTCCCCTAAGATTGCAGTTAGTAAAAAAGCTAAATCCCCGTCCTCCAGTTCAGAATCTGACTCCAGTACAGAGGAGGAGCAAAGCAATAACTCAAAGAAGAAGTTACCACCTAATAATAATTTAACCACCGTAGAAAATGATGTTGCAGAGACCCCCAAAGCAAAGACCTCTCTTGCAGAATCTAAGAGTTCAGATTCAGATACCTTTGTCATTAAAAAGCCCAATGCAATGGTTGGATTAAATAATTCTTTCGGAAAAAATGGTGCTAATTGGTCACAGATTAGCATTCAGGGACCAGCCACAAGCCCCGGTAGTTTTGGGAGGGGGCGAGGAAGAGGAGAGGATAACTACTTCTGGCGAGGGTCTCGTGGCCGTGGCTGTCGTGGAGGGTTCAGGGGCCGAGGCCGTGGGAGAGGAGAAAACAGTAGTTTCTTCTATAACTACAGCAATGAAAGTCAGAAACAACAGCAGCTAAATGAAGTGGTGACGAACACTTCAGCCATTATTCAGGTGAGTTTTTTGTCCGTGTTGCATATTTAAGTTCGTATCATGTGTTTCTTGAATGATTTAAAAAAAATATTAGTAACTGGAGGGCCAAGAAGACTCGGGTGTGGGATAACTGTGAACATCTGGTTCGTTCAGTGAAGTGTGGCTGATCTGCATTCTAAATAAGTATTAGAACAATATTATTTTGCAAACTTAAGCAGAGAGCTTGCACCACACATCTTGGTTCAGATGCTGGTGCGAATGCAGTAGGAATGGAAAGAAATTGGGGTGAGGGGGTGAAATTGTATCTACAGCATTGATACTGCCTGATGCTTTTGTTACTGCAGTGATTAAATCTTTGGGTTTAACATCTGTTTCACAGAATCCAGTGGAGGTTCCAAAGAGGGACTATAGTGTATTACCTCTATTAGCTGCCCCACCACAAATAGGGGAGAAAATTGCCTTCAAGGTAAGGAAGTCTTAAAACACATAATGTTACTTTTGTGCCTCAAAACTCTTTCAATTATGCCAATATAATACAGTTTTGTAGAGAAAAAGATACCGGTAGCTTAGGCTGACACCCAAAATCTTGCTTTCAAGAGTTGTATCATTTTGGGACTTTTATTCTAGAAACAGAAACGCACGTTGACTTTCTCCCTGCTATACAGATAACCTTGAGATACGTAATTTGTAAGTCTGAAAAGGATTCAGTTATCATCTTGTTTTGTTTTTTTAGAAAGTCTTTGAGCTAGTGCATCATGGTTTATTTTAATTTAATGGAATTACAGCACAAGTAAAAAAAAAAATGCCACACTCTTCATTGGGAATTCAATTTCAATGGGAAACATCAATGGGAAGTCTTAGCTTAATTAGCCTAACATCGTTTTTCCCTATAGCGTTTGAGTCAGACCTCTAATAATCAAGTTGACTTGTCTGATCTTTTCCAGGATCTCTCTCTGTGC